GTGAGCTGAGATCACGCCATTGCACTCCAGCCTGGGCAACATGAGTGAAACTCCGTCTCAAAAACAAAACAAAACAAAAAAAACAACAACAACAAAAAAAAAAATGCCAATTCCAAAGGGTTGCCTATTTTATAATTACATTAACATAACATTTTGAAACGACAACTTTTTTTGCCTCCCCAAAAATTGAACGTCATGAAATGACAACATTTTACAAATGGAAAACAGATCAATGGTTGCCAGGGGTTAGGAAAGGGATGGGGAAGGGGAAATGAAACTGCACGAAGGTGGGTATGGTTATAAAATGGAATCATGGGATACTTATGGTGATGGCACTGTTTCTGTCTGGCTGTGATGACAGATACACAAACCTACGCACGTGATAAAATTGCAAAGAAAACACACACATGTGAGTGTAAACAAAACTACAAAATTGGAATAAATGCATATGCATTTCAATATATAGTTGTGATAGTACAGTACAATTTTCAAGATGTTGCTATTGGGGGAAACTGGGTGAAGCGTACAAGGGGTCCTTCTCTATCATTTCTTATAACTACGCATGAATCTATGATTATCTAAAAGTGAAAGTTTAATTGTTAAAAAGTAGGTAAGGAGAAAGTTGAGAATCAAGGGTCATGTTGTCAAAAAAGTTTTGACACTTAAATAGCTGAATTTCAGCAGTGCAGGGAAACCTAGAAAATAACTGAACATTGTTTTAAGCTGTTAAGTTTATGATAGTATGTTCAGCAGCACTTGAAAACTAACACAAGGAAGTTGAAAAATTTTTAATTATATTAGAGCATGAGCCTTTAATATTCTCTGAGAAAACAGGAAGTACATTTCAAGCATTTATGTGGCACATGGAAACAAAAAAGCTGATATAAAAAAGACATCTCATGTGATTATTTCCATTCTAAGCAGTATGAACCACTCCTCTCAAAGAAGATTTTTCCTTTAAAAAGTAAATTGAAGAGTAGTTAGTAAATATTTAAAGATTTTTTTAAGCCAACTATGGTTTGCCAACCTGAATATCTGTCAGATGTTTTCTTGAAAATAAATGAATGAGCCTGTTAATTTAAAGAAAACCACTCATGGTATTTCTTGCCAATGATAAGATTTCAAGGAAAAGTTAGAACTTCAAAAACATCTTTCTCTACCATTGTGATTTTCCAGTTTCCCCAATACATATTTTTTTCAAATGAAGGGTGATGATATTAACAAATATGACTTTCTGTTTTACACAATGATGTATGGAATTACTTGGAAGCTCGAAAAATCTCAAGGCACTAATATTTTCCAAATGACCAACATGCAATGTTACAAAACTATGAATGGGTAAAAGATCCATTAAAAGGACAAGAGAGTCCCACAGAACCAAGTATGGAAAGTTCACTGATAAGTTTCACACTCTACACTATGCTTAACCCGTAAGAAACAACCGCTTTTGTTGGGGCCAAGTTTTGGTGCCCTATCCAAGAAGATTATCCACAAGGATCTGAAGAGTCTGTGAAAATATTCCTCTCTTTCTTCACTGCGTATGGGTGTGAGGCCAGACTTCCTTCATATACTTCAACCAAAACAACATCTCACAATGGAGTAAAGTGTGTGTGAGAATCCAGCTGCTTCTATCCAGCCAGACATGAGAGAAATCTGCAAAAATGTATGCCGCTCTCCACAATACAAGTTTTTGTCTTGCCAAGCATAGTTATTTCTCATAAAAATGTTATTTGTGTTAAATGTATGAGTTTAGTGTTGTTCATTTTAATTAGTAAAGTCTTTCAGTTTTAAATTCTAAGATAACGAGTATTGATGAACGTGACCCACATAAACAAAATCTTTTAAGAGCTCAATGATTTGGGGAGTCCTGAGATAAAAAATGTTTGAGAACTACTGTTATAGTGTTCTCCAATGGCTTGAAGTGCCTCCAGCTCTGCCAGGCCCAGGGTGCCTCTGGCTTGGGATGTTGTGATTAATGAGACAGAATCGTGTAGTAGTTCAACCAGCAAGGACTTACCTCTTCCTCCTGTACCCGGTTTCCTGCGACCATCATCTCGATCACCCAAAGCATCAGCCAAGTCGAATGCATTACCTTGAGTGGGCCCCAAAACATAAAGGAAACAGCCAACTGATTAACAAGTGGGTATAAGATTCCAAAATAAGCAAAACACCCATGGGTTCAACTGATCAGTACAAACAATGGGTTAAGACAAAGATACTTATATTGGAATTGGATTCTGTGTACAGACATTGGTAAAGAAAATATCTGCAGGATAGAAGTTACTACTTTCTGACTTTGCAGTATACCACCAGTTTTTCAATTAATTTATATTCCGAGGTATGCTTTGCTTAGGCCAGCAGTTGGAACATTTTAACAATATGCTCGCTGATTGTTGGTATTAGCCCAAAATTCAAAGCCAGGTACACAGAGTCCATAAACAGGACAAACAAAAGGGAGAGGTCATGTGCTCATGAAGCACCCCTTTGAGTGTGGAAATGTGAAGAAGTAAGGGCAAATCATAGAGCAGCAGTGACTCTCGTGGATCATCACTGTCTCTTCAGAAGAAAGGTAGCTCTCTACTGCACAGAACATATTATCATGCCCCCAAGTACTGGTAACAAGTTGCTGGATGGGAGCAATGACTGGGGTCCCAACCACACAGTCATGTTTTTCTTTATATCAGTGAAGATGTCTAAATGGTAAAATGGCCATCTGAAGAAAGGGTCAAGTGACAACAAGAAAGACTTAAGAAGAACCAAGTCCCAAAATTCTTTACTGAAAGATGACACTGTAAAATAAATGCCATTCCAAAATGTTCTCTCTGCCTAAAGAAAATGCTTGATTGGCTTCATAATACCTAAACAATTACATTTTCCCTGATTTTAGAAAATGAACTGGCTAAAAAGGGGAAGAAGTCCAAATGCATTTTCCTCTTGAAATTTTCCCAGGAAGGACTTTTCATAAAAAACACAGAAGGCACAGTGATCAGCCACGTATGCACTCTATTAAGTTAAACCCAGGGTTCAGATGGATGCCTTGGTTGGTTCTGCACACATGGGGCTTAAAACTACAGGTAGTTTACTCGAATGTTACCCCAGGGGGAACTCCAGAGGGCCCTTCCTCACTGCCCTCCTTAAGGCAGCCACATTACCTGGAGGATTTGCTGTAGCTCTGGTGGCTGCTGGCCTCTTGGTTGTGGTGGTGGTAGTGTGGCCCCATGGCTCTAAAAGGGAGACGGAGGACAGCAAGGGAAGCACATTTAGTAACAAAACATAGCAACTACTTAATGACTTGGGGAAGTCACATCATAAGTAGAATATCCTTGTCTTGGTCCTTGAGGCTCCTCTAGCTAGGAGCTTCAGAGAACTACACTGAAAAAGATGACAAAGGAGGATCAATCCAAGATGGTTGTATAGGAACAGCTCAGGATTGCAGCTCCCAGTGAAAGTGCAGAGGGTGAGTGGATGCCACATTTTTATTGCCCACAGACTAGGCAATTCCCAGGCGGAGAAGCTCCACTGGTCGCCAGCACGGCTGTTTCGGCCAGCGCGGCTGTGCCGGCCGGCACCGCTGCTTTGCCCCGCACGGCTGCTTTGTCAGCGCCCCGGAGCAGCAGTTCTCCGTACAAAATACACCGGTCCAGGTGCCCTTTTGGCTGGCGATAGGAGCCACGGGAAGTCGCCCATTCATCTGTTTAAAAAGGGGACTGAGCAGGGAACCAGGACATTAGATTCCAGGGCAAAAAAAAAGCCCCACAAATCTCAGTGCCGCTGTTTAAGCCAGCACAGTGAGTTGTCACACAGGAAAAAACACACACCGCGGAGCCTCCTCAACAGGCGACTGGAACACCAACTTAAAAAAAAAAAAAAAAGGCTCTGAGGCAGGGAGCCAGGCGATCAGGCTCAGCTGGTCCCACCCCCACGAAAGAACAGCAATCAGAAACTCTCTGGATTGAGAGTTTCACAGCAAGTACAGCTGAACCCGGGACGGTCCAGCTCTGTGGGGGAGGGGCGTCCGCCATTACCGAGGCAGCCTGCCACTAGGGAGGTAGTCAGCCAATGCTGAGGCAGCCCGCCATTGCCGAGGCAACCTGCCATTGCTGAGGCAGCCTGCCGTTGCCAAGGCAACCCGCCAGTGCAGAGAGGCTCCGCCTAACAGAGGCGGGCCACCATTGCTGAGGCAGTTCTAACTACACCGATATAAACAGGACTGCAGGGAAATTCACTCGGCAGCTGGGCAGAGCCCA